ATTTCAACATTTCAGCTAAGCAAGTGACCATTTTGGGGGGGGGAGGTTCTGTATGATTTTATTATTTTAATTTTAATTTGTTCAAATATATATCAAGATTTTATGTCAATCATTTAGGGGTGTTTTTTTTTCTTTTCCGTCCTTGGTGATTTATCAAATGTGTAGGTGTCATCACCACAAATTTTTCCAACTCTTTTTTATTTTTCATTTAACTAATTAAACTCTTAACAGTTAACACTATCCAAACAATTGTTTTTCAAACAGCACTAATCCGGTAATAAACTTATCTACATTCCCAAACAAATAATTTATTTACAAATATAGAAAGGATCGCATTACCCACCATTCTCACTTTACATATTTCTACCGATTTATGAAAAATTGGAATCTTTGATATATTAAAAGAGAAACATTTTTGGATGATTTTGGTGTCATCACCACAAAAAATTTCAACTCTTTTTATTTTTCATCTCATTAATTAAACTCTTAACATTATCCTAATTGCCAAACAATTGTTTTTCCAAACAGCACTAATCCGGTAATAAACTTATCTACAATCCCAAACAAATAATCTATTTACAAATATAGAGAGGATAACATTACCCACCTTTCTACCGATTTATGAAAAACTGGAAGTCTATAATACAATCCATACATCTTAATGAATTTCGAATCAAATGAATTGTTATATACATTTCAAAACATCAAATTATTTTATCCAAACATGTTAATGCATATCCAATCAACCCAATTATGATATACATTATAAACCAATTTTGATGATGTGTCACTCCCACAAATTTTCTCACCATTTTAATTTTATTATTTAATTTTTCTATTACGAAACACATTTATATACAAATATTACTTATTTTAAACATTCTGAAAACCCACTTACCAAACACATTTGACTATTCTAAACTTGCAAAATACAATTATTTCAAAAATTACAATGTTATATCTTACCATTAAATCTAAAAAATTAAACTTGCTCACATTTTTGAAGCTGGTTGAACATTAAAATTTGAAAAAGTCAAAACTAATTTAAAATACGGAAAATCAAATGACAACCGGATAAAAATTCACCTAATCTATTAACAAAATTGAATAAAATACAGAAACAAAGTAATATTCTTTAATAATTTTTGGTTAGTTCAATTATTTCGGTTTGGTTTGCGGACATTTCTGAAATTGGTTGAACATTAAAATTTGAAAAAGATAAATCTAATTTAAAATACAGAAAATCAAATGACAACGAGATACAAATTCACCTAATCAATTAACAAAATTGAATAGAATACACAAACAAAGTAATATTCTTTAACAATTTTTTGGTTAGTTCAATTATTTCGATTCGATTTTGTATACTTTGAATTAGGTTGTGATAATTTAGTATAATAATTTATGAATCCATTCAGACTATTATATATTTTGGTTCAATTTCGGACTGTTCAATTTTGATTTAGTTCGATTTTGTTATTTTGTCTATCCCTTGGCGAAACAAATTCCTATACAAAAACAATCGAAAATTCGGATATACACAATCGGATCTAGGATTTATTATAATAATTTTGGCTATAGGTGACAAAAAAACTTATGCAATAGTTACAATTAATTTTTTTAACTAATACTATACTAATTTTCATTACAAACATTTTACTCCGCAGACGGTAAAAAAAACATAATTTTAATCTTAAATAAACTATTTTATAAATATTGATTACCGGTGCAAAGCACCAGGCTTAACCTAGTCTTTCTTTAAAGCATGTCTCAAATAATTTCAAATCGAAGTCTTTTGGTTAAGAAAATATGTGTCAAAGTTGAAGCACTTGTAAAGAAACATTGATAGTGCTTAGTACTAGTCCAACATTGTANTATTCGAAAATTTTGTAGAATCAAAAGATAAATGTAAAGATAATATGGAAGAACATTTATAAAATGCTTAAAAGACTCTTAAGAAGTTAAAAATTATGAATTATTAAACATTTTAACTTTACATTATTTTTTAACTTTATTTTTTTATTCACTTGTTCAACACTTTTTACACGTTAAAAATAATGTGTAATTTCCTCTCTTTTTAACTGTCGAAAGACAAATTCACTTAATTTTGTGAGTTAATATTTTAGTAATTTTTTATAGCCTACGGCTTTGATTGTTTATGGTTTTTGAAAGAGTTTTCGGTTTTTGTTTTTTCAAAAACCACTTTTTCATCCAATCAAGTTTTTTGAAAATAGATTCCCTAAAGTTGGAAAACTAGTTTTTAGACTAACTACCTATTACTAAAATCTATGCTTTATTGGTTCTTCCCAATAATTGCCGATATATCTTATTTTTAATTTTTTTTATCTTTCAAATATTGCTAGTTTAATACAAGGGACAATTACAAAAATACCACATTTTGTATGCACATTTACAAGAATGCCACTTAGGAGTGTCCATTTACAAAAATACCACT